ATGGGCAGAACAAGAAATGACAGCAATAATAACATCCGAAACGAACTCTATAATTATAATGAAAATTGAAATGAAATAATTTATATACACAAAAAAATAATGGCGCAATAAATGTTCGAATTGGAGTCCTTCCACTTCGAGACGAATAATGGGCCAATAAGATGGCCTGTAAGATTACCAGATCTTACTATTTTGGACTATTTTCTATGGGGGAAATTGAAAAATAGGATGTACGCTGGCAGAGAGATAGAAAATGTGGAAGACTCGAGATTGAGGATTTTGAATAATTTCGCAACAATTCAGCAAATAAGTGTATTGGGGGCAATATATAATATGAAAAACGAGTTCAAAAATGTCACGAAATGGAATGGAGTCCTTCCATTTCGTGACATTCGAACATTTATTGCGCCATTGATTTTTTTGTGTATATAAATTATTTCATTTCAATTTTCATTACAATTATAGTGTTCGTTTCGGATGTTATTATTGCTATCATTTCTTTTTCTGCTCATCAAAACACATATAATATATTTTTGTTGTAGATATGTTTCAGATAATCATAAAAGGTTTTCTTATTCGAAGTTCATTGTAGAAAACACTCAGAGCAATGGAAATATGAAAAAATATGAATAGGTACCTAAAAATGAAAAATAAAGCTCTCCAAAAACTCTACAGTACATAGAAAGACGTGAAAGTTGCTATTGTGTTTTTATTCAACTCAGTCAACCAATTTTCAGGGTCGTAATTCAAAAAGGAATAATTCATCCAATTATAATCAGATATTACCGAAACATCCCGAAATATAAAATTGAACTTAATTTCTCAGTATGAAGTGAACTTTGATGATACAAAAACTATAACAAGAAATACAGGTCCATATTTTTATACAATTTTGAGAATAATGGACTTGAACTTAACTCTTCAGGCACCTTATTTGGATTCTCCAATCTTCAAAATGTTATTCAAGGAATAAATACATCCGTTGATTCGATGCCTCCGAAAAATTCACTTCCCCCTTAGGCCCGGAGTTCCTTCCCTTAATTTCCCTTCCGCTACATGTACTTTGCCTCTTCTCGATCTATCTGTTGCGTTAGCAACTCGCACTTAGTGGAGTATAATAAGTTAGGAGGGCCCGTTCATAAACTTGGGGAATTATTCCAATGAGCCTGTTATATTCAATGTTTATTAGGATTGCCGGTCTAATTTATTATCACGGGATTGAGACACCCTCTTGTACTAAGCTCGCTAGGTATTATTGAAATTCAGAATATTAACGAGGATTGTCTGCATGGTGTTTATAAAATAATGAAAGAAGTAAAGAAAGAATTTCATTTCCAAGACAAGTAACCGAATCGCCCGAAGGTGAGCACGTTACTGCATTTGACTTCAGGAGGAGAAACTTTGTGGAGCTTTATAGAATGCTATCTCAACTTTCGTGGATAGATATTCTATGTATGGATAATTTCGACGGATGTGTAGATAGTTTCTATGATTGTTTGAAGGCCGTTATTGAGAAATGCTTGGAAAAAAAATACTTTCATCCAGAATCGATTTCCCGCATGGTTCTCAACAGAACTCATGCACAAAATTAAATTAAAAGAACACTTTTTCAAAATGATGAAAAAAAAGTGAAAAAACATTATTATTATTATAAACGAAAATACAACGAACTCAGGATGGATGTGAAACGTTCGCATAATTTGTGTTATGAAT